CCCCACCCCCAGCGGCCTATCACTTCCTTATCATACAGATGCCTGCTTCACACACAATCCACCATTTCACAACTTACTGGGACACACTGGATGTCATCAAGTGTGACAGTTAGACATGCATCAACAAGAAGGCAAGACCAAGACATACTTTATGAGAAGAAATATGATGTATGACAAGGCATTGGGGATGTCAATAAAACAATTTTGGATACTGGGAATATAGGGTTTCTGTCAAATCAGAATTGACCATGTAAGAAAGAGAGAGAACATAAAGGGGATGCACTGAAATTAAGCTCACATCAATTATATTTTTATATTAAGGCCTTGTTTGTTTTAAAGTTAGAAAGTAAACTCTTGCACTTTCCTATGGAAAACACACGTTCCAATATAAATATATGGCTCAAATTAATTTAGACATACATCTCAATTACATTCAATGATTCAAAATCAAGCATACCAAACTCTAAACCATATGAGCACTAAGATTGGGCTATCAGAGTTGTGCACAGAAGATCAGTTGAAACACCAATCTGAACTAGAATAGATGGGCTCAAATAGTAAGACATACTCTAACAAAATGAAAGAGACTAAGGGACTATACCCATCTAAGTTCTTTAAATGCGAACAAGAGAATTTCCCTTAAAATCCCATCAGCACAGCAAGCCATGCCAGAAAAAGATAACTTTCTCCCACAACAAAAACATTTAAACTTCTACAAGATCTGTCAATTAAAGCAGTCACCAAATACTGCCCAATTGCAACAGTAAAGGCACAACATCTTGAAATAATATACTATTTTCTGTTCACTCTTAAAATAGGATTTGGCAAGAATCCCTTGAATTCTGTTTCCTACAATTGAATTATGCACAATGACTAACCAATATGAGAGATGAGGCAGACATCCAGAAATTGGTGCAACCGTGCAACAAATAAAAGAAATCTATGACAATTACAAAAACTTATATAAACCAGATACAAAGAAACTTTTCACATAAAGCATAAAATGAAAATTACCATATCTTAACCTATAAGGGCCAATGAGCTATGCATGCATCAAGAACCAGAATTTTCAAAAAAAGGAAAAATGAATGAATGAATCTTACTCCTGTAATCTTTTGCGGAGCATGTAACGTAAATATGCATCAGTTCCATATGGGCTTATGCCCATATATTTACACATATTAACCAAGCGAGGCCTGTTCTCCATTTTTGCAACCAAAAATAATGTTAATAATGATAATGAATGGAATCCCAAAAAAAGAAATTAATAACTGGAGAGCACATCTTGTTGAACATAAGCAATGGTAGAAGCCCCAACCTGCTAATGTTATCCAGGGTGAGCTCATCATTAAATAATTTTGCAAATCCCAAGATTTCATCATTAGAAACTCGGGCACCTGTTCTGACCTATTTCAATCACATAATAAATACAGACACAATGATATAAATATTGCACATAATCACATATAAGAGGATGTCTAAACTGTAAAACAATATCATGAAGAGCAAGGCTGACCTTGTTCATAAATTCATCAAGATCTTCTGCTGTCTGCTTCAGTTCTCCACTTCGTGAATTCTGAATCTCCTTTGCCATTTCTTTTACAGTATCTTGAAGAAACTTGGCATATTCTATTCTTGCATTTAGCCTTCTTTTCAATGCCTCCTACAAGTTAAGCCTTCCCAAAATTGAGTCATAATAAAGCACACCAGTAACCAAGCATGTATTGTTTGATGAATACAATAATAATCACCTGTTCCTTCATCTTGTCCTGGAAAGTGGATGGCAGCATGTTGGGAAACAGTTTAAGGAATACTGGCAACAATAACTCCATGAATGGAACTATGATAAATACAGCAAAAGGAACTAGCCTGAAAATGTCAGCTGTTGTCCTTGTAAGTTGCTGCCTCTCCCTTCTAGAAAGGCTCTTTCCATTGGCTAGTTTCAACAATAATCTGGAGCTTATCCTAATATCAGCCCAGAGTAGTTTTGTACCAAACCAGTAGTGTTGCAGGGTAGATTTAAATTCATCCCACCAATGACTAAACTTTTTTGCCCAGTCATCCCTAGTTAATGGAAAATCAGACAAGTCTCACAAATACATTTATATCATACAAAAAAAAAAAAGATGCAGTAAATTTTAAACCTGCTCATTGACATTATTGTTCTGAAAGCTGGACCAATTCCTAAAATCTTAGCCCATAATTTCTTTAAAATAGAATCAACACTCTTCTGTGGTTCTTGCAACTGTTTAGCCTTAGCTTTTGCTTTTATATTGCTCAAGCCTTCAACAGCTTCATCACATTCCTCTGGTGAAGCTTCCTTCTTTTGTTTAGTAGCCGATTGTTCACTTCCCATATTACTGCCACCCAATCCAGATTGATCAGGTGCAACCGTGGAAATATAACGGGTACATTGGGATATCCACCCCAATCTTGAAAGACAATCTAACTCTATCTTGTCAGATCTAAATCCAAAACTTGATACTCTAAAGGAACTATGCGAGATAAATCTCGAAGCTGTATGAGCTGCCATATCATCTTTGTTGATAGTAAATAAATTTATTTCCTGTACATGTTTGGTAGTGGCAGGTGAACAGAAGGGAAACTGACTCAAACCTTCTAATTCACTAGATTCAAATGGCTGAGCATGCCCAACACTTGAGAATCCAAAACTAATGCGGGTAGATTGGCTACACAAGGGATTGAAGAAGATGCTCCTTCTCTTTCGCAAAATCACCCTTGAAGCCATAACAACAAATTCCAGCCTCTGATTTCAATTCTCCCTAAACAAAACCCTTAGTAATTCAATGTTTCAATGCCATAGATACAAAGAATGCAGAAATTTACCACCTGTAAAATGCAAGCGAAACTCCAATTATTCATTGCAGCACATTATGAAATTAGCCGATACTAATAGTAACCCAAGCGCGTGTTTGACTATAGATTACTTTTAGTTTAGTTTATTTATTTATTTTAACTATCTTAGAAAGATGCAATAACAACAAAAGAAAAACAATTATTTCTTCAAAATAAGTTAAGTGAATCCAAACAGGCACTTTCCATACAGTAATAGAACGATAGAATTAAAGCTAAATGCGACGCTAATTTGTCAAAATTTCAAGCATTCTAACATCTTTCATGCAACGATTACACAATAGAGCTACTAATAAAACACAGAAAAAAAAATGCTATATATATGTATGTATATAACACGTGTCTAAAGTCCAAAACATTTTTCGATTTAACCGATTAGAGCAGTCGCAAACGCATTATCTATTAAAAATAAGAAGAAACCATTCATTCTCTTACAATTGGCAGAAATCCGAATCGAATTGAGTTGAACAAGTAGAATACGAAACGCACCGTCGTTGGCGAAAACAACGCACGGAGGCGAGTCGTTTTGACGGCGAAAGTATCAGTCGAAACTAGCGACGCCAGAGGTGAATCGAAGAGGCGGAGAGAAAATGCGCGTGTTCAGTAATATCTGGATCGTGTACGGAACAGAGTAACAACACTCTAGGCGTTTCCAATTTCCATTGATGCAACACTCTTGGTTTTATTGACTTTGACTACAGTGCATGTTTTGCGCCACGGTAAAAAATTATAACCAGGAAAAAAAATACGAGTTATGCACTGTGAGTGAATAATTAATTATATTTTTTAATAGTGACATGTGAGTTGTTTATTTAATAAAATAATAATAAAATAAATAATTTTAAAAAATATGATTGATTGTTAATGTAAAAAAATTTATACTGGCAGTATAAGAATGATTAACTAAAAAATATTATGTCTTAAGATGGAATTTATATACTCTTTATAATAATATATATATATACTGAACTGAACATATTCAAGTGCTAGTGTTGGTTCAAAAATGAGAGATTTGGTTTAGTAATTTCTTTTATAAGTTCAGAATTTTTATTTTATTAATTTGTATATTTTTCTGTGGATGGATAAATTTTCTAAGAAGGCTTTGCAATACTGAAAAGGAAAGGATCTGAGTTTCTGGCATATTAGTATATTCTGAATTCTTTAAACTATCCATTTGGGTTGTCATTCTCTGCTTCTCTTCCTTTATCTCTTAACATGTACCCCAGTAGTGGCTGGGCAGTTTCAGATTTTGCAACTGTAATATAATGGTAATCACAATATAAGATGTATTTAAGCAACATAAAGCTATTGGCTTATTGCAATAAACTTAGAAACAATTTCTTTAACAGAAAACACTACGACATCGATCAATCTAAGCCTAATTTTTGGAGACACAGGGCAAATTCACACGAAAAAAGTTGTCATGAACTCTTCAACATATCTCAGGACTGTGAAATCTAAACACCAGCACAATAAGTTTATATTTGGAACTAAATCTAAAGTATGAATGATCATTTTCTCCCCATATCTAACAAAAAAAAAAGTTTATTTATTATTTGATGTAATTCTTGTTTGAGATTCTTACATCTCAATATGCTCAAAATGTTATCCTCTCTCATTAAATCAATACAAGTGAATATTAATATATTAAATGAATAGAAAAAGGATTATGCAGAATGTTACATATTTATTTAATTATTATTTATTATAAATTTAATAAATTTTACAATAATTATCTTAAAAATCATATAAATAATGATTTTTTATTGACAGTACATTATTATTAAACCTTAAATTTATACTTAAAAAAAGTTAATATACTAAATTATGCATCGATTATTCTCTTGTTATAAACGTATTTTTTTTTTTTTTTTATATCTCATAGCTATAATATATTTTTACCTATTTGACTTATTTAGATATAAAATAATACTTTTGATTATACTTTTATCTTCAAGACTATCAAATTCCATATTTAAAAAATAAACGAATATTAAATTTATTGTTCTAACGACTTTAGATTATTTTTGTTGTTATTGTTGATGACTTAAATTTTTTTAGTGCAATTCTTAATGAATTAAATTAAAAGGTAATATTTTTTTTTAGATTGAGTTTAATTTTATTATTTTTATATTATTTAATTTAATTATCTTTTTTTTAAAAATGCTTAATATTGTCATTTTGTCTTTGATGTTTTTGATGTTAATGAATTCAAATGAAAGATTTACATTGAACATTTTTTTTTGAAAATTAGAGAGTCAAATTAAATATTTTAAAATATTTGATGTTAATGAATTCAAATAAAAGATTTATATTAAATATTTTTTTCATAAAAAATTAGAAAATAAAATTATATATTTTAAAAATAGTGAAATTAAATAGAACATTTTAAAAATAGAGTGATCAAATTAAATATTAATTAAAAAAATAAATAAATAAATTTAAATTTATCTAAATAAAAAATATTAGATGAATTATTATTTAATTTGATCTCTTTATTTTTAAAAAATTTAATTTAATTTCACTATTTTTAAATAGTTTAATTTGATCATCTTATTTTTAAATTTTGTTCCCAATTTTATTATTACAGTTAATATTAATTTAAGTAGAAGTAATATTGAACATTTTTTAAAAATTAAAAAAGTAAATTAAATCATTTAAAAATTAGTGGAACCTAAAAATAAAAAAGGAATCAAATGTATAATTTACTCATAACTAAACTTAAGCTAAAATTATAAGAGAATTTTTTTAAAACAGAAAATAGACAAAGGGCAAATCAGTAATTCCACGTGACAAAACCCTATATTTTGCTCCTAGAAAACTCGTCACTCCTTCTTTCCCACTCCGATACCTCTCTGTGAGAGAAGAAGCAGCGATGTCGCAGCAAGGTCAAATTCCGATAAACCCTATGGTTCCTCCGCAGAACCCAATGGCCATGCAGGTTCCCATGCCTATGCACATGCAGATGCAGATGCCCATACCCATGCCCATGCCCTTACCCATGCAGATGCAGATGCAGATGCCCCTCCCCATGCCGCTCCAGATTCCCTTTTCCGTCCAGGACTCCGCCGCCGCGGCCCCCTCCTCCGGAAAGCGCCGCCGCGATGATGAGGCTCCGGGCACCGCCGGCGCCGCCGACCAGTCGGCGGCGAAGCGTGTTAAGGGACAGGACGTGATATTCAGGATCGTTGTGCCCTCGCGCCAGATCGGAAAGGTCATTGGGAAGGAAGGGTGCCGCATACAGAAGATTCGAGAAGACACCAGAGCCACCATTAAGATCGCGGATGCTATCGCTGTAAGTCTCTCTATTCATTCATTAATAAATTTACATTTTTTGCTGCAGAGATAAAAAAGAATAGGGGGTTTTATATTTTGGGATTTAAATGCTCGGTAGAACTAATATTCTGTATCAGTTTGTGGCTTCTTGTTGTTTTTGGTTTTAGGGTGTCTGTTTGGTAGCTGCTTTAGACAGGAGTAGAAAAAAAAAAAGTGGTTTATGTACTAGTTAGAATATAGCACTATTGTTCTCTGTTGAATTATTTATCTAATTTGGGGTTTGTGGAATTGGGGATTGATTGTTTGAATTAGTGTTTTTGGCATCTGTTCAGTGGCTGAGTAAGCTGAGAGAAAAACAATGTGTGAACTGAGGACTACTTTGCTTAGAGCTACTTTCCAAGGCTGTTTGGATAAACTTCTTCAGAAGCACTTGTAGGAGAGAAAAATAGGGAGGAAAATGAAAATAAGGTTCTTCCTAAACTAAAACTAGCTTATGCATAAGTTAAAAATGAGATTTTGGAGAAGATAATAGGAGAGAGTTTCTACAAATAAGCATACGCATAAGTTAATTTTAGGTTAAATAGACGCTTCTTTCATTTTTTCCTTTCTATTTTTCTCTCCTAAAAGTTTACCCAAACCATCCTTAGTATCTAGTTTGGGTTTAAGGCTTGTTGGGAGTTAAATTAGTGAATTAAGATAGCTGTAGTGGTCGTAGGGGGTAATTGTTTATTATTTGTAGTGGCTACTCAGTTGTTGTAATGGATGCTTGTTGCTTGAAAATGGTGTGTGGTCACGTTATTCTACCATTTGGTTGGATTTGGAACAATGTAATCAGAGGCTGTTGATTTCTCAGCTGCAACTCTTTTCAAACACATTGGAAATGGTATTGTAGAATTTGAAGCATGTTCACCCTTTGCTGCAAATCCTACAATGATGGGGTGTGGCTATTGCACTGGTGTGTCTCTTTTGCAAAGTTTTATTTTGCTGACTGTAACTACTGTGTAACTGCTACATTGAGTTCACCCATTTCTCCTTTTCGGCTAGGAATCATCTGAATGATGCTGTAAACTTCATTCAGTTTTGGGTTTGCTGATTATTAGTGAGGGTTTAATGAATTGAATTGCTTAAATTGGCATTTAAGATAAAACTGTCTGGTTATTATTCAGACTAATTGGTCTTTTACCAAATCCAGTCTCATGTTTTCTTTTGGGCAGAGACATGAAGAGCGTGTTATAATTATTAGTTCCAAGGACAATGATGAAAAGGTTACTGGTGCAGAGAAAGCTCTTGAGCAAATAGCTCATTTAATTTTAAAGGTAAGATGGTCCTGATCGATTTGTGCTCGCATGCTTTCTGTAATATGCATAATTAGACACGAGCTTTGAAGATTGTTGTGACTTTTGATTGCTGATTTTGTTATTATCCCATTTCATAATTTATTCTAAAACCATGGTGGACCTTGTTTAATTTTTATTTTAAAATAACATGGTTTATTGTTTGTCTAGCTTTAAAATTTGAGAAGTACCTATGCTTGCATTTTAATCTACTCTTTCCTCTATATACATGATACATCTATCTATTTTGAGGAAAAAAAGGGAACATTTTGGTAGATGTTTAAACAGGTTAGAAATAAGTTGAAATATGTAACCATGTTACAAATAAGGCATTTGATAATATACAGAGAACATAAAATCTTTAGCTCTAAAATTCTATAACACGTCAAACCAAATATTTATTTATTTTTGTCATGAATTCATGTTGCACAATATTTTTATATACCCCAGCAAACCTGTATACCATCTTTCTTATTAATTGATGTACCCCTGTATGGTATTATGGAAACAGTACATGCCCCTATATCTATGCATCGTGATTTAAATAATTTTTTATGCTTGATTTAATTGTAAATCTTCTTAGGGGCCTTAATCTGCTCATTTTCTTGTAATTTAGATAGGCACATGGCCACTTTAGGTTTTCTATAGACCACTATTTTTTAGATAATTATGTTCTTCAGTTAATTATTATGTGGCCATGTTGGGTGTTATTTTTGTTTGTCGGCTAAGGCATTGATAAAGGTATGCTTCATATAACAGGAGGATGATAGCAGTTTTGATGCATCAAAAGTTACTGCAGGACATGTGGCTGCCAATACGATAAGGCTTTTGATTGCGGGGTCCCAGGCAGGTGGATTAATTGGGATGTCTGGTCAAAATATCGAGAAATTAAGGAACTTATCTGGTGCCACTATTACTGTTCTTGCCCCGAATCAGTTGCCTTTATGTGCTTCTGCCCATGAATCTGATAGAGTAGTACAGGTGAGATGTCTAAAATGATGGATTTGGTTATTTCTGAAACACTACTATCAATGTTTCAATGTAACCTTGCCTTCACCATATATTTTGACTTCAATATTTTAACAAAGATGACAAGTAACTTTAGTTTGTTCTTTGAAACTTCATGTATGATGAGCTTGTTTGGATCCAGTCTAAAAGGGCTTTTGAAAGCTTTTCTACAGAAAGTAGAGAGTATTTTCCAGTAGAGAAGCTCTTAAAAGCCTTTCTAGGCTTGTATCCAAACTGTGTGCGTTAACAACTTCAATGGTTAAATTTACAAATGGACTAGGAAATAACAATGTTATTCATCTTTTGTAGTTTTTCCAAAATTATGCTTACTTGGTGTCATAGTAGTCAATAGCGGTCGGAGCGGCCGCTATCGCGGCGCTCTGGAGCGGAGCGGCCTCACCCTGCAATCTGGCTGCTGGAGCGGAGCGGATTTGTGTAGCGGCTGGAGCGGCCGCGTCGGAGGCGGAGCGGAGCGGCCCAAATCGCGGAATCGCGGCGCGATTTCAGACTTACCCTTCATTAAGGGTAAGTCGGTCTTTTCAATGGGGTTTTTTTTGCCCTAATCCTCCCTTTCCCTCTCGCGATTTCAGACTCATCCAAACCAAACCCCTCCTTTCGTCTCTCCCTTTCTTCTTCTCTGGCTATCGTGCGTGCAGCGTGCAGCTCCGACGAACTCCGGCTCCGACGCACCTCCATCGCCGACGCGCCTCCAGCTCCGACGCACCTCGGACTCCGACGCGCCTCCAGGTCCGACGCAGCTCCGACGTGGCCGCAAGCTCCGACGCGCGTTTGTCTTCTATTCTCCTTCTATTCTCCTTCGAGGATGCCTTTTATGCAACATGCAACATATTTTTTTTTAATATTTATTAAATTATTTCAACTGATTTTTTTTTAATTTCTGATTTAATTTAATTGAACAAATTTTATTTTTAAATTCTGATTAAATTTAATTCAACAAATTTTATTTTTAAATTCTGATTAAATTTAATTCAGCAAATTTAATTTTTAATTTCTAATTAAATTTAATTCAGAAAAATTTATTTTTAATTTCTGATTAAATTTAATTCAGCAAATTTTATTTTTAATTTCTGATTAAATTTAATTCAGAAAATTTTATTTTTAATTTCAGAAAATTCTATTTCTATTTCAGCAGCATATTTTTTTTAATTTCTGATTCTATATATATATATATTATTAATTATTTTTGTTTTTTTAGCTTTTATATATATATTATTAATTATTTAATATATATAAATTAATATTTAAATAGCGGTTATCCCGCTCCGCGTCATCCCGCTATCCCAGTTTTAGGGTCGGCCGCTCCGCGCCGCTATCCGGGATTGACTACTATGCTTGGTGTTGAATGGTACATGCTCTTCAGCGCATGAAGTATTGATGTGTTGATGTTACTTTAAATCATAGTTCTCAATTCTACTTATGAAACAGACAGTTGAAAGAGAGAATTTATATTAATTTGTATCACACTAATTACATTCTTCTCGTACCCTATGAAAATAAACAAATATAAAGAAAATAAGAAAATATTATAAAATAATATCAAATTTCCTAAGATATTCTTATTTACAACACAGACCATACCATTTTGCTATTTAATCTTGTTCATGCTAGAGAAGGAGAACACATTTGTTGGAGGCTCCTAAAGCTCAGTATGAACTCAAGAATCCCCAGTCAACTTAAACAATGCATGACCTAGGCTAGTCATGCCTACTATTTAACAAGCATATACTTTGATGGTTCCCACCTTTTCTGGGGAGTGATGTGAATGATGCCTTTGTCTCATGCAAGGGAGGGGGTGCCAATGGTGCCTCAATCACGTTCAGGGAAGGACCTATCAATTTTATTACACTGGGCTTGAATGTCTGAGGCCCACAGACTGAGGTCGTTGGGCCTCTCAACTGCTAATGTGATAGAGTGAGTTGGTTGTAGTAAATGGTTGGTCTTATCTGTGATATAGCTCTCAGTTGGACAGTCCAAATCTGAAGATAATTTTTCTCCTTTATCCATGCCAAAGCTGCTAAAATTTTTGGACATAAATTTTCTACTTTTTGTTGGTTAATCCTCTGATCAGAAGCATGTTAATATGCTATATATGCCAAATCCAACAGCCAAAAAGACAATTCAAGGGTGTAAAAAAAATATTACACATTATATTGAATGACATGAAAAAGCTTTTAATACTCAAAGGTATTTATTACAGATTTTCGCAGAAAAGTTTAGATTTGTATTTTTTTTCTTTTTAAAATTAACGAGGAATCATTTTTATTTGTTGCATTTTGAATAATTTCAATTGTGAAACTACATTTAGGAGTTGTAGGTTTTTGTTGAAAGGTCACAAACTAAAGTGTAGATTTGGAAATTATTTTCTTTTTAATTTAAGAAAAACAAATATGGATTCACTTTTTCTAGTTACTATTTTTGTGTGTTTCTTATACTTTAATTTACTCCTGAATTTTGATCAACATTCTTGTTGAATTTAGTTATCAGGAGATTTTCCTGCCGTAATGAAGGCTTTGGATGAGATAGGTTGTCAGCTAAGGTATGCATGTTAATTTTGAACCTGGTTCTAATTTACTTTTGAAAATTAGTTTGTCATTTTGCCTAACCCATTTATCAACTCAAATATTGTTTAGGGAAAACCCACCGAGACAAGTGATTTCAATTAGCCCAACATATAATTATGCTGCAATTCGACCATCCCAACCATATCTTGACCCAACTTCAGGTTATTTAATGTTTTCTATATCAGAACAATGTTTGGCTGCCATTTAACAGTTATATCAAGTTTTGAATATTGTCTTACAATCACTTCATCTCTAGGACAACCAATCTTGCAGTTGATTATGTTACCTTCGAGATGCTGATTTCGGAAACAATGGTTGGTGGGTTGATTGGCCGGTGCGGCTCAAACATATCGAGGATCAGAAACGAGTCTGGAGCAATGATTAAGGTTAGTCTCATACTTGGCTTAAAGCACAACAATAGTTTAAATATGTGAGTGCATCAAATAGAAAGACACTGTCCTTATACAACATATTTTTTTACTTCTTGGATTCATGTTCAATTGTTATTACTACTGTTTTCTGCATAAAAAACAGCACTCGTTGATCTCACATTTGCATTTGAAACCATGGAAGACATAAGATTATAGGACATAGACACACCAAAATAGATGCTGGACCCTAAATTTTTTGTGTATTATGTATTACCTTATTTGTGAAACAAGGCTTATTGGATCTCCCATTAGCTTCAGTCTCTATATGGACCTAGTGTACTTACAAAAGATAGACATTAGTAAACAAAATATGAAGAAAATTGAGGATTCTACACTTGAATGATTAGAATGGAAGCCCTTGGTTTTCATACTACATTTAACTTTTTATTAAACAGCATATTTGAACACTTAATCTGTTTCCATATTGATAAATCAAATTTTGTTAACATAATGACACACTTTAATAAGTTCTTGAGCTTGTTTAAGTCTATTGTATATTAAATGGTTGTTGTTGAATTGTTTGTTTTTTTCTATGTAAATTCCCCGACTAATTTTCATATGATTTATATCTTTCATCAATTTGAAAATTTTGCAGGTTTATGGTGGTAAGGGTGAACAAAAGCATAGACAAATTCAATTTGGTGGTAGTGCACAACAGGTGATCTTTTTTTATTATTGATTTTTAACCTTTTAATGTTTTTACTTTCTAGAAGAAAAAACAATATACTTTTGATGTATGAGGCATTATTTATTTATTTATTATTATTATTATCATTATTATGTTGTTATTGTTGTGTTTTATTTATCTGTTTGACTCGTGCATTTTATCACATGGCTACTGGCTTGGGGTTTATGGCCTGAACTGAGATTACAACAGTAGACTAATAAATCAAGTTGTATATATTTTGCTAGTACTTGTTTTCTCCGATATGGTTTTAGTTCAGGCCCCCCATTTAACAATTCAATATTTCTAGTTTCTTACATTAAGGAATGAAGTGTGGATTATTTATTTCTTTTGTGAATAAATGTCGGAGAGAGGGAGAGCTAGGGGCATTGTAGTGTAGGCTGCCTAGTGGTACCCTCCTCTGGTTGGGGGCCAGGGTAGGGGTGTTTGGCAATGGTCTTGTAGCATAGTCCTATCTTCTTTCATGCTTCGTTTGGTTACCAAGAAATGGTGTGGAAATAGGGAGGAGAAAGGAGAAATAAGTGAGAAATAGAAATTGGGTGTCGTTTTGGTAGAGGGGGAAGGAAATAAAAAGGTGTGGGTAATACGACTTTTTATTTTTTTGCAAAACCAGATGGAAATGAGTAGTAATATTGTTTCTAACTGAAAATAATTGATTGTCCTGGTTCCATCCTACATTATTGATTTTCATTCAACTATCGATTGTCATGAAAAAATTTGTTTGCCTTGCACTTATTTTATTCTTTTCCTATTTTCCTCTTTATATTTTCCTCAATTTCTCTTAAATCAAACTCCTCTAAATTTTTATCTCACCTATTTCCGTTCACTATAATGCTATCTTTCGTAGTTTCATCCACTATGTTTTTCACATATTTCATTCTTTCAAACCGAACGCACCATACGAGAAAACTCAATCTTTGACCTTGATGAATATTAATCCTTGTTGAAACTAGTACACTGGGAAAGGGCTGTCTGTGTCACACATCAGACTAGACAATTCAAAACGTGTGTGAACTTCTCAAATCATGTGTGGCTATGTCCGTTCCTCCCTCCTTTTTCCTGGTCTAGGATCTTCCTTGAAAAGAAAATAGAGAGGCTGTTCAGCTTTAGATCAAGATACTAATTTGAGTGTTCATATCACGGCCGAAGTGTTACTGAGTACTTGCATGGAATTGAACATTTTGCATGCTCTTTCACTTGTTTATTTTAGGCTGTTAAGGTTTATTTTTTTTTATTTTTTTGTTGAAACTTGAATTTTGTTAGCAGGTAGCCTTGGCAAAACAGAGAGTTGATGAATATATTTACTCTCAGTTGATACAACAAACTGGCACCCAACAGTCAGCGTAAGTATTTTTTTTTATGAACTGGATTGAAATTGTAAAATTGTTTTTAGTAAACAAGGAACAGGCACATCATTGTAATAACTAAGATATTCCTTTTTCTGTAAAAGCTTTTAACCCCATTTTAGAAGGTGACATTTTATGGTTCATTGATAGTGTAAAGTTGTTTAGTGTTAGTGGATTAAACTATTAAGTTCTTTTAAGTGATTTGCTACAGATGTTTTAGTTTGAGGTTTCAATACATGTCTTATAATTTTTGTTCCAGCATATGACTGTAAACAGTAAGCAGATTACAGCTTAAGTTTACTAAATAAGATTTTATTTCTTACAGATTTTCTATTTTTGGATATCCATCCTTTTATTTTCATTCGTTAGAATTTTGGTCACCGAACTACTACCTTAATAAATGAAAATTATTGAGACTAGTTCTTTGAATGGAATAGGAAAACAATATTTTGATGATTGAAATCTACATGTTTGGAAAATATAGGGAGTAATACTTAACAGTAAGGACCAAAATTTGAAAGATTTGTGATCTATTCAGCTTCCAGAGATGACACCAAGAAAGCCAAAATCTCTAGATGCTGTCTATCAATTCTCTGCTATGAACTCAGCTCTGTTGCTTCACCTTCGGTGCCTTTCACTGTTAGTAAGATAAGATGTGTTAGATGATAGCGTTTGTTTGCCATGTTAATTATAGTGGATATTGAATATTGAATTGCTGAAGTTGAAAACTTTTTCAGCTTGTACCGTATTCTAATATAGTTCAAGGTATATATTTTTGTCTACATATGATTTGTTTACAATGTAAGTGTAACGTTAGAGACGCTGGCATAGGCTGTGACGAGTTTCGAGTGATTTTATGCCATCTTTTTTTTTTTTTTTTTTCCGCTATAACGGAAGAGTATGGATGAACCTTCCAAATAACTTTTAGATCTTACGTTATTCTTTGTTGATGTTAATAAGTAGTTCTCACAAATGAGGTTGAATTATGCTTCCCAAGGGTAGCTTTTATGAAGCACATTTTTCGAGCGAGTGTGAAAATAACTCATTTTTTTATGAACTAACATCATTGCAACTTTATTTTAAGAATAAAAGTAACATTTAAAATAGAATCTCAACTAAATGGACAGTACTTAAGAAAATGATCATTAAGTTAAAAAAAAAATTATTTGAGTTCAATATATATATATTTTTTTGTTTATATTCAAGACTTAATAGTTTATTGTCCTAGGGATTTTTACTAGGCCAAAATAAGTTGATAAATAGATGAAAAATAATTATAGTTTTATAAAATCAATCTAATTATTAAATTTTTCGTGAAATTTTTTATACAATTCAGTAAATTTTTAAAATATATTAAGGTATAAATTTTTAAAAATTAATGCAACGCTAAAAAAATATACTTCTTCATTTCTTTACTATAAGTAAGAAAATTATATGTTTCTTTTCTTAAATATAAATAAGTTTAACTAATTTTTTTTATTTAATGATATTTTCTCTCAAAATATTTTTTCTTTAATGCATGTTAGTTACACTATTTCTTTTAATTTTTATAGCCGGAAAATTTTATGGGAATAGCAGTGGAAATAATTCAGTTTCTTAATACACATAAAATCAATTATTTTTACTTAAAATAGAGAATAGAGAAGGTATTTATTAAAACATTTTTTCTTTCTGCATTACAATTATTATGAGAACAAAGAAATATTAATCTTTGTCCAAAACAATATTTAATATTACCTATAAATAATGATTAGTCTGTTATTCTGATTGAAACAATAGAATTGATTTTTGGTTAATCAAATGTGAAGCCTTTGCATCATTATAGTATTGAACTAGCTGTTATGCATCTTTTGTTGCAAATAGATGGGGAATGTTCTACTCACTACCCAACATATTCTAAGTAAGGAAGGAAATCAGGGATTGATGCTTTAGCCAAAAAGAGTGTGCTGTCAGTGGTCTTTCATGAAGCTCCATCTATGAGAGTTCAGTTTCCTAGAGTCTAGAATTTTAAATAGGCTATGTATGATGAATTTTAAATATATACATATAGGCTATATATGATGAATTTTTAATATATACATATATACTAATGAGCTTAACTTTATAAAATTGTGACACTCTTTTATTTATTTACTAACTTTTTAACTTGTATAAAAGAACCCTTAAACTTTGTTATTTTAGCCTAGAAAATAAGGAAAATAATTGAATTAAAAGTAAAATATTTTGTTCTAACGTGGAAGGATCGTTTTCACATTAACAAAACTTGAATGGGTTGCTTGGCGACAACCACATATCCGGCTTGTTAGATTACCGATCTAGCAAGCAATATATTTGATTTTGATCGTTGAAAACATTAATTAGAAGAAGAAAGAAAGTTCAACATCACACACACACGTTAAAGAGAGATCCACATTTGAACCCTTTTAATTTTATTTCAAAATCAAAATTGCAACATTTATTACGAGTTATTTTCGAGGAACAAATTAGGTAGATGAATTAACTCCACAACTTTCTTTCCCCAAACGTGGAAATTCATATTGTTTTCTTCGTTTTAGTCCAAAGCATTTATGTTTTTGTGTGAAGTTCCAAACACGCCCTGATTTGTCAAACCTAATAGGCCTCGACCTCGACTTTCTGAATCTGCTTTGTTCCTTCGTCATTTAAATTCAGTTCACATTCTATGCTCCAAATACAAATTTCTACACATAAACTTGCAAGAAAAATCTTCAAGGGTTAAATTTTTAAACAAATAAGGGTAATTGTATCTTTTGTTTTTTTCTTTGCACGAGGACCTTCTTATTGTATAGGACACACAGTATGACCCATGATCGTTTCCATATCTACTTCATTGGTTTTGAGAAAGTTATCTCAAAATGTAATTTAAATATGTTTTTAATTTTTACAAAATTAGAGAACTTTGATTTTGATTTTTGTAAAAAAAATCTTTAATTTTATCCCTCTAAAATTATAGCTATTAATATTAGATCATTTTTTACTACTTTTTATTTATTATAAGTTTAGGTGATCTTTGTTAGCTACAACTCTTAATAATATTGTGTTGGTGTTTGACACTTTTAAAATTATTTTATAAATCATTATAATAAATGATATTTAGATTTTAGATGTCACCTGCCATTCTTAATTGCTCTTATTTTAATTTTGAATTATTTTGAATCAATTATCTATGTTCGATATAACTTTTAACAAGTTTTATTTTTAATTATCTATTTATACTATATTTTGATTAATTGTGCGTAGTGTTTTATAATCTTATTTTTTCTCTTTGATATTTTATTTTTATTTTTCCTAAATTTCAAAAATACTTATGCAATACACATATATTATACTTACTGGTCAATTAAAAGTTATACTATCATACATTGGTCATAAGGGCTAAGGTTTGAGTTCTTTGACAATGTAGTTTTAGATTTTTTTAAAATTATACTTTTAGGTGAACAATTTTAATTTCTTAAATTTTAATTCAACAATTAAAGTCTTTTGAATATTGTAATTATATAATTTTGATTCTTTTATTATTTTTTTAAATAATGAATTTTTATTAATATGACATCAATGGATGCACAAATAGCATTATATTATATTAAAAAAATGATTTTCAAGTAGGTTGAAAAAGTTGTAAAATTTTTCCACAATCCACATTTAAATACCTTCTCTCATGGTATATATACTTATCTTTGTGTATTAGTACTTCCAATTTCATAGTGAATATATTTATTAATGGTCATTCAATTATAGATTTGGTAAATTCTTAGTTTAACAATTTTAGTTGTTCAACATTCATATCTCATATTGTGTGGATATTGACATGGTGCTCGATGAACCCTATTGTTGAAAAAACCTCATTGAGTAGGTGTCTTCTCTTTGAGTGGATTGTTAAGTTTTCTTTAGGACCCTAGTTGATGCAGTATGTGAGTCAGGTTAAGGCAATACTAACTATAAGTGACAAATGTTGATCTGTATCATCGTATTTGAGCAAGGTCAAGACATACATGTATAAAGTGATCAATTGAGTAAAGTACGAAGTCGGTGACTTAGTCCCTTACTGAGTATTAGAGGGGTGTAGTATTTAGAGGGTAGCTAGTTGACTAATTTTATAGGGGACTTAGTATTACAAACTAATGCCTTGGTAAACTCCTACCTTGATTATTCTACATTAACAAAAATACTATATTTCCTAGTTTTAATGACAACATTTGAGAAATCATGTTGTTATGAATTGATATCCCAATTCGGTAGTTGACCTAAAAGGTGTAAAAAGATTGTGTTGGTTTGATGGGATCAAGCCTCTTAAACTACTCACCCTATTATATGAGACTTTTGTAGGTGAATGTGTGACAACACATTAGTTGAGGTATATGCATATAATGTGTTGTTTTGGTGATTGTTCATATGCTATATGACTTTGGTTGTTGAATAACATTGGTATGGTGTGAACTATACCAAGGTTTTTACCTTTTATAAAGATGTTAAATGTCATGCCAGTTGATATGATACATAGTTACATGTTAGTGATTAGTATAGAAGTTTTAATCTTATACTTTTATATGTTATTCTTTTGAAATCTAACATACACAGGCATTTTATGTCATTTTATATTTATTAATTGCTTTATTAACTTATATTTACTAAATACTTTAAGTTCAATTAATTAGTTTATAAGATTTTAACTTTTCAACTCCTAACTTGCATAAAAATTAAACACATCCTTAAAAAAAATTGAGTCATTAAAAATTATAAATATGTGAATTAGATTGTAGGAACTATTTCAAGCTTTTAGAAAGTTCTACCATTATAATAAAAACTTTATGAAGTTTTTAAAACAAATGTAAATATACTAAAAACAAAATATATATATATATATATATATATATATATATATAATATCTAAAATTTAAAATAAATTTCATATATAAACAATATTATATTTGAATAAATAGATATTTTTAAATATATAAAATTATATTTTAGATTTATGATAAATAATTTATATTGTAATACAAAATTATTTTTATTTATCAATAATTTTTTTAAGTATTACAATTTAATTTAAAAATAACCATGATAAATAAAAAATAAATTTGATTTGAAGTTAATTAAAAAAAACTCATTTGTTGAAAAAAAAAACTCCTAAAATACAAAATAGCCATTTATGTTTTATGTATATAGATTGATTTTAGAGGCTAATTTTATGATTTTGCTTTTATTAATTTTAAGAACTATTTTAAACAATCATTATAATTTTAGAAACTAACTTGATAATTATTTAAATAATGTTCATCATTAGAGGTACTGATGATTTTTACTTGATTGATGGTAAAACTTTTTTACTTTAAATAATGTACGAAAATTTAATTTAATTAGAAAAAAACAGGGTTAGTAACACATACCATTGGAGAACAATTCAGAAAATTATGTCGGTTTTTATTTTTTAGGTCCCACGTATAATTTAATGCCATATAAAACGCTTTTAAGAGAAAAATTATAGGGGTGTTACATTTAAGAGACTTTATAGAGAAATTAATTAAGTTATTTAAAGTATAAAAAAGACATATAATATTACGAGAAAGTATAAAAAAATCACAAAATATTATGTGTAGAAATTCACGAGTTTTTTTTTTTTTTTTTTAATTCACAATGTATATTGTTATAGATGTCTTTAATAGCACTTATTTCTTAACCAAATATAAAGTGTGATTTGACTTTGACATGAGATATTGATTTAATGTATTATTTTACTTTTACAACAACTAATTATATACAAATGAATTACACTTCCTTGTATAACAAAAAAAAAAAAAACTTGTCTTAACACATTTTATTATTAATTTAAACTTATTTAAAACTACAAAATTATAAAAAAAAAAAGTCTCAATATACAAGTGGTAAAACCTTGTTGCTAATATTTTTCTTAAAAAAATGTTGAAAGTCTTGTGATATCACAAGAATCAAAGGTTAATGAAAATAAAATTTTGTTTATTTTAAGAAATTTATAGGTGAAACATTATATAGTAGAAACTCTTTAAATTAATAATGTCAAGATCAGAGAAATTTATTAATTTAGAGAGTTATTAATTTATCAATAAATAAATAATTATTAATTTAAAGAGGATGACAGCGAAGATGATACAGTGTCTTTGGAGTCTGTTACGCAAAAGGAAGCACTTATAGCGTCGAACACTCTTCACAACTTTATGATACAATACAAAAATACAACACCTGAGCTATTAGATACAATAAGAAAAGTTAGAGATGAGCTCCAAATAGACTTGAACTTTAAAGGAAAACAGACAACTATTGAATCATATTTCAATAGAGTGTAATATATTTTTTTATAGTTTCTATGAATTATTAATCTATGATTTTCTTGAGACCGAAAATTATAAAGGGATCTCCCGAAAAATTATTATCTTATTATTTTATCAAGTTTTTCAATTTTTTACATTGGTTCAAGTCGGGACTGGACAAATTTATTATTTTAAAAAATTTATTAATTTATCGAGTATTAATTTAAAGAGTTTCTACTATACTACGATTTTAAGAAAAAGAAGATGACATAAATTACAAGTTCAATATAAAGTATTTGAGTCAATCTTCTTAGTAAGATAATTAGTTTAATTTATTCAAAATTTTCTTTGTAGTGAGTGTAACCTTTATTTTAAATTTAAAAATTGGGTTGGATTGGGAAAAAGAAAAAGTAAGATTGTGTTACTTAGTTACAGCGTGCAATGAAAAGAAAAAGAAGATGGTAACCGTTATATGCAATAAAGGATGATTGGGTCATGATGACGAAACGCCAAACTTTGACTTGGTTGACTCAATGAAGGGCGTGCCATTCACGCACGTTCTTCCATGTTCCATTTTTATTTAATTCAACGTATATACGTAACAGTGATAATCTAATAATTAAGGAAAAAGTGTGAGACAGAATAATCAAATTTTTGAAATATAATAAAGTTTGAGGGATGAGAACGGTAAGAAAACCACAAAGATTCAAGATTCAACCAACGAATAATTGCATGCCCACAAGCCAAGATATCGTCAGATTAGTAGTAAAACATAAGATTACTTGCACAATAATTGCACATCATTATCCACCCATTCAACTTCACCTTCAAATTACATATATAACTAGTGCCACTAAGTTCTTTTTTTGGCAATCCATTTATGTAATCATCAAATGAGTATGTATATTTTCTGTTTCTGCTATAATACTCGTGAAATGAGGAAAATAAACCCTAAACATTACTATTTTATAATTTAATTCTCGAAAAAAAAAATAGTTGTTCCCTCGTCTGCATTGTGCTAAAAGCTAGAAACTTTTAAATGATTTAAAAATGACACATCTTGAATTAAACTAACTAAAATGCAACTAATTGGCCGATTATTAAATCGAACAGGTGAATTAAAATCGGACTTTTCCATAATAAAATTGGCAAAACACATGTCTCTAATAAAAATGAGAAATAAAAAAATGTAGGTGCAAGGTAGTGGATGCAATGTGAATGAGTATGTGTGGAAGGAGCATGAGGGTAGGAAAGTAGTTCCTCCATCATTTTCTTGAAGCTATCTAAGTTTACATTCATTTTGTCCCTACTCATATTCTTACTACTTATTAATCTCTACATATCCCAGAACAGAATAATGAGCTTTACTAAGGAAGTTGAAAAACAGTAGATTAAAAAATTAAATATATAGAGAGATATAGTTGTTTTGTAGTGGGGGGGAGAGAAATGTTATTCTAAGATGCTTGACCCTTTCTTGAGTCTCTCTCCTCCTTTTCTTCCTTTCAATTGAATTAGCCCAACCCATCATCTTCCACTCACACACTAAAGACTCAACAAATGCAATCTCTCTCTCTCTCTATTTTGTAAGAAGACAAAGCAAGCCATCTCAATCTGCCAGCAGATCTCCACGAATGCTGCTGCTGTGTAAAACGGCGTCGTATGCAACCCCCCAATGAAGTGCAAAAAACACCCCTTAGACCTTAGCAGCACCGTCGGTGTCTGCGCTTCATGTCTCCGCGAACGCCTCATAGCGCTCATGGCCGCTCAGGCCCAGGCCCAACCCCATCCCCAGGCCCAATTAACGCGAGGCCACTCTCGCGCATCCGACGAATTTTCCAGAAACTCCCAACCTAACCTTCCCCCGCCGTTAATCTTCCCTCGCTCGGTTTCTCCCTACGTCTCTCGCCGCAAGTCCGACTACTCCGCCGCCTGGCTCGCCTGCGACCACCGCCGCGACCGTCTCTTCTACAGCACGCCGCAGCTCGGCCCCACCTTCTGCGCCGCTGACTCCGCCTACCACGCCGACGCCAGCTCCTTCAAGAAGCGCTTCCACGGCTTCAGACTGTTCTCCAAGCTCTTCAGGTCCAGATCGGAGAAGCTCCGCTCCGATCCGCCGTGCGACGCGTCGCCGTCGTGGTTCTCCGCGTTTTTCCCCGCTCGCCGGAGGAACAAGGACCGGAACGGAGAGGATTCCGCCGCGCCGCGGCGGCGGTACCGCCCCTCGGATCGCGGAATGTCGCCGGTGAGGACTGAGGATTTCGGCGACGAATGCGATCAGTCGCCGTCGGCGAGCGGATACGCCTCGGAGGCCTCGCCGTGGTGGCGGAGAACGCCGACGACGGCAGCGTCGGCGCGGCGGACGAAGCTAGGGCACGCGAAGAGCGCGTCGGGCTCGGGTATCGCGCTTTGCCTGAGTCCTCTGGTTCGGGCGAGTCCGAACCGGAGGTGGAACCACAAGGGGTTTCCGGCGGAGATGGCGGAGGTTAGAACAACGGCGGCGAAGCCTCACCTCTCCGCCGCGGCGTCGTTTAACAAGAACCGTTCGAGGAAGCTTGCGGATTTCGGACGAGCCAACTATAACCGTTGATTTTGTTGACTTTTGGCATTACCGGACATGACCGGGTGATTCTCAATTTTTTCTTTTAATTTTTTTTTCGTTTTGTGCACATTCTTGATTTTATTTTACCATAAAGAGTAAAAAAAAAAAAAAGAAAGAAGAGAAACAGATTATTTTTAAAAAAATTCTGTTTGTACACAAATTGTTTACTACATCTACATGGACATGGCTACATGCAATGCAAGAGAAGTGCAGTTTTATTTTGATTTTTTAATTTGAAGGGATATAGTTGACATTGGTGTGAGATGTGACTTGAATTGTTTGAAAAATGTGTATGGGATTAATGTTGCTTTTTCACGATTCTTGCTAAGACTTTTCATTCTTCATTATTTATTCACTCCTCAACTCACAACTGAACTCACCACTTTTAATTATTAAAATTAATTCTCTACTACTGTAAATATAATTTACTATTTTATTTTACTTATCTAAATGTTTTTTAAGCATATTATTAGTGTGAAGTAAATGGTTTAAGTCAAATAAAATATAAAACAAAAAATAAAAATCTCGTATCTGCATTAGTATATGTTTTCGTACTATAAAGCATTTCCCTTAACAAATTTCGTGGTGTGGTTATATTAGTCAAATAAGTTCTATAATCTTTACCTTTTGTTGGAGAAATCCAAAAGTAAGTTAGTGAGAGTTTTATCCTGGTTAAGGTAAAATTCACACTTGAGTGTATCAATTACAATTAAAATTATAATTTTGTGCATTTGAATTAGTTAACTTGTTTAAAATTGTAATCTATGTTAATAGATACACTCTTAGATCTTTAATATAAGTAAAAAAAAAAATACATGAGTTTTTGTATTAAATATAAATAAAATTGAATTAATTTCACTTCATTTAATATTTTCATTTACAAAATATTCTTCATTTATGTAAGGTTTTATTTTAATGATTTTTTCCCGCTTGATATTAAGTTTTCAATAATTTATACACCAAAAAACTAATACACCAGAAAAGTTTTCAATAATTTTTTTAAAATGAAATACAATTAAATGATGTTAACTAATTTTTTTAATCAGCATAAATCAGTTTTTATTTACTTATTATATAGGAGACTAATTCTCTTCGAGAAATGTCATTTTGAAATTCTGAGGAAAAGATAACGACACAAAAACATAATAAAGACAGTAAATTTTCTATAAAGATGATAAAGTTGATGTTTAAGTTGAACATTTGAGAGAGGTTTTCATGTTTAATATTTAATTATATTTCAAACAATTGTCTATGAAAGAATGCAAGAAAAATATTGAACGTTGACATTTTATCTGAGCATAAATAACCCACAGTTGCTTTTGAGTAAAAAAACAAATAAAAAACCATCAAAATTTTTGCATGGTTGGTTGTTGCTTTTAAATAATAAAAAAAAACATGAATTTTTGTATGTTATATATAACATTTTTTTTATCAAGAAGAGAATTGATTTATGTGTATTTACAATTTTGACAAAAGATTAATTGGTAGATATTTTGATAGCAATGATTACAAAATAAAAATAAGAATATATAATAGTTTGTAGAAAAGAAACTTGATGTAAACTGAAGTGTGGAAACTTTTGATGAAGAAGAATGATAGCATAGCATAGTTGGTGGATGAAAAAGTAGGAAAATTGAAATAGGTTTGAAGAAAAGGAAGATAGTGGTGAGGAGCATAATGAAGGGATAGTGCTCCCCACTTGAAGTGTAAGTGAATAGGTGAAGAGGTGAAGTGGTGAGGTGGTGAAGTGGTGGGGGCATTATTTTGGGTTGAATGTTGCAATTGCAGTTTGTGGTGGTGAATTGGAACACACAACCATTGCAAGTGTAAGTGTTGCTGACACTCATGCATGGGGTCCACACCATTTAACCACTCTCTGAGCTTCCTTTAATTCCCTTCTCTACCCTCTTTAAATGCCTACACATTATTCTACACTCTTTTTTATTTTATTTTTTGGTTTTGATGTGTACACTGTTTAATACAGCCTAGGTGGAGCATGGGGTGGGCTTGGTCCATTCGTGGAATTTTCATTTTTCAACTCATTTTAGGGGATACGACTAGTCCATTGATTTGTTTAGATTTTGTGAATCCGTTTTTGTTACTAACAAGGATGCCACTAGTCATGGCAATCTAACGTGATATCTGTTCAAACCCGTCTCGATTTAGATAAAAAAAATTCGTGTTTATCAGGTTTGGATTTGGGTTCAAGTTTTCCCTAATTGATAAAATTGGGGACAGATATTAATACCCATCCTGTCCTCGCCCCGCTTAATAATATAATTAAAAAATTATTTATATATATATATATAAACCAAAATTAGAAATATTTATATGTAAAAATGTATATATATCTTTTAAATTGTTCATATTTATTTAAAAAAAAAAGAAGAAAAAAAAATAGGAGCAGGACAGGGATGAGAACCTAAATTTTATCTCCAACGAGTATCGGGACAGGGGCGGAGACGGTTTAAATTTGCGGGAGGAGGGCGGAGAACATAAAATTCGTCCCCGCCCCGCCCGTTGCCATGACTAGATGCCACAAGGTTTAGTCAATTAGTTTGAATAGAAGGGTGCTAATCTTTTAATTTCATTTCTTATCATCTGTCTTTTTCTTCCATCATTCAAACCAATATTTAAAGGGTGATGATGTTCGTCCACGGATTGAGATGGAAACATGAGAGATTGAATGAAAAAAAAAAAGTGATTAATGTTATAAAGAATGAAGTAAAAAAAAATAGAGAGAAAATGTGGTGGAAGTGAGATGGAAGAAAAATATATCTATAATGAATATATATTTTTTTTTATTATAGTTGTTTTAATTTAATATTTTTTTTTTGGAATTAAGAGTAATTGATTTTGTTTGTTCAAAACTTCTCAAGATTAGAGAAAGAGATGTAACAATTATTTATTTATTTTTTTATTGTTTGTTTGATGATGTGATGATAGTAACGATTTTGCTATAATAATGAAATATAAATTACATCACTAATGTTTTTATTCCTTTTGATGATAAATATAAAGATTAAAAAGCTTTTGTCCTATCAAAATCTTGTTCTTAATTATCATGGTTGATAAAAATGAAAGTCCACATTATAAAAAAGAACTCATAATTATTATATAGGTTGTGTTGAGCAAGTTTAGATTTGGGTTGACTTTCTTAATAATATCTTCTATAGAAATGATGATAAAAGAAAAATTAAAGAGTTTTCAATAGTCATAGCAAATAGGGGTTTTTAATTTTTTTTAACATGACTTATATTTTTTTTAGTCCTTACATTTTTTTTATTTCTCATAAAATTATTTTGATCATTTTATATTCCCTATAAATTAATATTTTGGCCTTTTAGTTTCCATAAAATTATTTTTATCATTTTAATAAAATCTTTGAAACATATGATTACATGGATGATATTAATACAATGACAGGACGCTTTATTTGCTACATCATTATTTAACATTACTTTTCTAACTTATATTTTAAAAATTAGATTGGTCGATGTGATCGAAAAATGGTGAATTAATTTAAATAAATCATAAAATTGATTAGGCAAAAATTTGGTCAAAAACTAAACAAAATTAATTAATAACAAATCTAAAATTTAAAAGAGAGAGAAGTAAAAATTGAAATATTTAGTTATTTGTATAGTTTTTTAATCAATATAAATCAAACTCAATAGTAACAAAGGAATTTACAACAACTCACATACACTGTTGAACTAACCGAGTTAGACTCTCTATTTATTTGTATAGTATTTGGTTGTAGGCTAAAAGAGATCAAAATTCCTCCCTTCTCACTTTTGTGTCTCCTTCAATATCGATAAACATTGGAGAGAAAAAAGTGTAAAATAATTATAGATTGTGCCAACTAAATTATCTTCGGTTAAAAACTTAAGTTTAACGATTTCATTCTTTTACCATAAAAAAAAAAAAGTAATAGTAAATTAATTTATTTTTTTTTATCAATTTTTATTCCAAATATATATTTAGACAGAGTTAAATATTTTGTTTAAATAAATTTCTTCACAATTACTTCTAAAAAAACACAATAAATTTTTTCATAAACTAAAATAAGTTTTTAATTAATTAAAAGTTAATTTTCAAAGAAATTAATATTAAAGAATTTTTATAAATTAACTTATATATAAATTAATTTTAATTTTTGGGGAAGTTTTTTTCTTCTTCTACTTTTTCTTATTATTTCTTCTCATAGAAGTACTTGTAGAAAAATTATAAAAAGAAAATAATAATTAAAAAATACAGTCATGCATTACATTATTCAGACACTCTTAAAATAATAGTACACTTCAATTGAAATGGTATACTAAACTTTAATAAAGACTGGTGAATCATTAAAATTAAATACATCAAGTTATAGGTTTTGTTAAAGCTGTTAAAATATTCACAATGTTTATGGAGCAGAGATGGCAGATAGTCAAGGTTAGTTGAAGAATTGCGTAAAACTTGCATAAATTCACTTGTCAAGTCATTTTAATGTAGCCAACCCTTCTCTGATTTAATTAATATTCTCATTCATCTTCAATGGAAAATACCACAACCTTCCGCTATGATAATTTGCCCCACTGAACTTGGTCAATTTCAACCACCTAATGAATCTCAGTAAAAGTATACGAAAACAACTTCTTACTTTAGAAGCAACAATATGCAATAGCAATTGTTACATATTGCAACAATTCATCACTCCAACTACTTTTAATTCCACCAAAAAAAAAAAATGATTTCATGGAGTTGGAACAACAGGATTAGCTTTTGATATATATATATATTTTTTTTTAAAATCCCGGTTATCTTCGGATCAAGAATTAAAGATTAATTTCTCGAAGTGCTAAAATACATTTAAGAGATTAACTTTGTTTCACAATATGTTCTTTTATATATATATGGGTCAAAGGATTGAACTCCTAACTACATATAAGTGATAGATAATGTGCCAACTATAACATACCATATTAGTTGTGACTTTTCTTTTA